GAGCTAAAAAATTGTTTGGCAAAAGCTAGAGTTTCAATGCCTCTAAAGGAGCTGGCATCAGAGAATTGGAAAAATTCCAGTATTATCTAAAAAATATAAAAAAAACAACACAAGAGGTATAGAGACCTATTTTAGTGGTGACAATGCTGATGCATAACTAAAAATCAACCTCCTCTTTAACGAAGGTCATTATGTAATCATGTAATATTAGTTTAACATCAGTATTTGTTTGCAAATACTACTGTGAAACATGTCATATTGGTTATGAAAACAAAATAAACATGGATGTTCATCATTGTGTTAAGCGTATAATGTAACCTCGCCACCTTGCAATCTAGATCATGACGGAATTACTTGTCCTGACTGAACCTACATTTTAAAAATCAAACATGTTTTATAGCTCACAAAATGAAAAACGTTGTTCATGTATGTAAAGAAGTGTGGGTAATGTAACCAGATTGTAAGACCCAAGGGTAGAAAACTGATTCATGTGTGCGGAGAACAGTTTTGTAAAACTTTTATAAAAAATACTGACCACAAATATTTCATGAGAGTAGATTCAGTTAAAACCAATTCAAAGAGCTGTTTATTCACTTTTTTTACTTTGAGACTCCCCAGGATGAAAATATTCTAGATGATCCAGGGAAAAACTTCATGTTGTATGTCTTTGTGTTAGCCAACTGTATTGTTGACAGTGTATATCAAATGATGATGACACTCTCCATGAAAACTGTATGATTTTCGTCAAAGAGTGTTTAATGTGAACCCTGTAGATATATTCATGAACTAAGTAATGGAGGCAAAAAAGAAATTCCAATCGATTTGTGTAATTGCTCACAACGGTCAGGAATTTGATTTTCAATTCCTTTAAAATCATGTGTACAATAAAAAGAAAACAGTTCAAAATTGATTTGAAGAGGGACGAAAATTATCCTAATGGAACAAGATAATGTAAGATTCATTGACTCTATTAACTATTTTCCTATGACATTGGCAAACCTCCCGAAATCATTTGATCCTGATCCTGAAAAAAGGGATACTTCCCTCATCCTTATATATAATACGTGAAGGTGATTTCTACAAAACACTACTCTTCCGTTAATAATGGACGGATTTTTACAAACAACGTGTCAAAATAAAGTATTTTTTGTGTAGACGCCCCCTTTCACCAATCCCTGAAATAAAAATCCTCGGGCTTTGCCCCACAGGCCATCAAAGTTGGATTTTCTCCCATACAAAGCAAATGCCGCAGTTGACGTTTCAACATAGAAGTCGACACACTTCCCGTACAAAACAACCTGTCTCCACGATCTCTGCTAATCTATATAGCTTTGGGTCTTTTAAGGTTTGAATATTCAAACTGAAAACTTTATTCAGGCGTATAATCCATCCGCCAATCAAACCACGACAAAATTCAGCAAAAAACTCTTCGTCATTTAGAAGTACGCTGAGGGGGAAACTTTGTGTGAGCTCTGCCACACAATAACACTGGGATCGCGACATCCAATTATCTTCATCGCATAGAGAAATTAATTGCTACAAGGACTCTTTGGGAATGTTAATGGCAACATGTGCCATTAATGAACGTGCTCACCTTTGTTGGTTGGGAGGTTGACTTGAACTGTGGACAAGCCAAGTTGGTTTAATGGCTCTGGAGAAGATGCTCGCCTCGTTTGGCTGGTTGTGGGTTGGCTAGTTGTGGATTGGATGGTTGTGGGTTGGCTGGTTGTGGGTTGGCTAGTTGTGGATTGGATGGTTGTGGGTTGGCTGGTTGTGGGTTGGCTAGTTGTGGATTGGATGGTTGTGGGTTGGCTGGTTGTGGGTTGGCTAGTTGTGGATTGGATGGTTGTGGGTTGGCTGGTTGTGGGTTGGCTAGAAGGGTTAAATTGTAGTGAAGACGTGCCAGGTAGGCTAGTACGATTAACACTGTTTCGACTTAAATACAAGCAGTATTTTAAAATTTAAATAACCATAAGGAGTAACACAAATAAAACAAAAATAAGTTGTTACAATTCAAATTATATTTAGTTACATTATTTACATGTTATACAAATTCTATACCCTTTCCCCGTCCCAGGTACTGCAGTGACAATCTAGGGATGTCCTCGCTGTTGTAGGCGTTTATTGCCTCGTCTGGTAGAACTGTCTTGAAGCGGTCCGGTAGGAAGACACGAAGATAGAAATCATGTCCAATTAATCCCTCCAACGTTGCTGAGATAGCCTCTCCGTCTCGTTGTGCAGCGATCGAGCTTGACGACTCTGTACAGCATCCCAGTCCTCAGCTCGGACAACCGTGTGTAGTGTGGCTGTCTAACGCTGTTTAGTTGCTCCTTCAGGTCCTGCGGGTCCATGGTAGATGCTCAAAGGGGTCTTAGGGTTTGGATTTAAACTGTCGGAGTGTTGACTCTACGAGCTTAAATGTTTCATACAATCGCAGACAAGGGTTTTAAGGGGGCTCTAGGAGGTGAATGTGAAAGTTAGTTTTCGCCAATTTGAGTACATATAGACACGCTTAAGGATTAGTGAAACATGTGTTCCCTAATAACAACTTTCTATTTCAATGCTCAATAACATCCTTATATGTCACACCTACAACGTGCAGTTCACTGTATGGAAATAAAAAAATAGTTTATACACAATTTGCGTCTTCGCTATTACAACTATCACCACCAAAGAATGCCTCATGTAAAAACACTTTTCCTGCTCTCTGTGTTTCAGACCGTTCTGTTTGGAGAATATGGATGACCTATGCCTGAGGAAACGAACATTACCGAAACCAGAATAGGCACCAATGAGGAGACAACTAGAACAACATGAAGACCCAATACCAAAAAAGGTCAAAACTGAACTAGAATTATATTTGGAAGTAAGCTACACAAAAACAGACACATTGATGCAAAATTTACTTATTATTTCGGTCAAAGAAACGGTAACTGTAGAAGAAGAGGGAAAACAAAAAAAAATGAAGAGGAATCTAAATTTATAAGAAAGGAGTATGCTTTTCTGAAGATGAAGATGATTGTAAAGCTACAAACGAAAAGGCAAAGGTAGAAGAAAATACAATAAAAAAAAACACAAACAGGGCAGTTCAGCAAAAGAAAATAGAAAGATAATATTTTTATAATCCCTCGACCAACAAAAACGGTGCAGGTACACTGTTTTATTATATGTTAAGAAACCAAAAAAGGCGAAAGATTCTAAAATTTGATAAGATGAGAATTCTGTCCTTTGCACAGCAAAAATTAAGAAGGCAAAACACCAAAAACTATTTACAGGAAATTTTATTAAAATTTACGAAACCTTCTAATTCATTCCCAGGGATTATGATCAAAACAAAAGTCGACCATCCGATGAAAACGAAAAACACCACTCAAGATTTCAAAAGAAAATTGATGAAATTGAAAACAGAATAACGAAACTACAAACAAGTCTTTTGAGCCCTCCACAGAGAAGTACAAATTAATCGGATACGATATAAATCATGATGCAAAATTTGATTTGGCACACGAATTTCTATGGATTAAGCATTCAACGTCTTTATGATAATCTGAACCAAATTATCTATTGAGCAAACATTTAAATTGGACAAAAATTTAAATAAGTTAAGTTTAAATAGTGATTGTCAATGTAGATAAGAAACTGTAATCAGATATTTCATTTGTATAAAAATTAAGACAAAAAACTAAAAAAAAAACCTGTCTTGTGAGTGGCATTTTACTGCTGTTGAATGTAAAACTGTAAACCACCAATACTTTACCAAGTTCATAATTTATATTTTAGCTGTGCCTACCCCAGGCCTTAATCGACATAATAAGGTCAAAACAGTTTTTACCAATAAATTGAACTATTCAAGTTGACTAATAGTTTTATTATAGTTTTTTTATTGTTTTCGAAACATTTAAATTTGTTCATTATAATTTTTTCTAACAATAGGAGTAAGAACACGTTCAACCCTGGATGAGGAAAATGTCATTCGTGTTATACAGATCATCCTCGTTCGGGTTTTTTATTTTTTATTGTTGGTGTGGCTCTGGCATACATCCTAGCTCTAACAGGGAAAATTTTCACTATGTTATTAATAAAAGACAATCCTCGAAATTAAAGTCATCTACTAAATTAACGTCACCTTTTTTGTACAGGAAAAATAATCGATTCTTTAAACGTTTTGGGAATTGTTTCACTAATAAACATTTTTTGTAAGCCGTCAGTAACATATTTAAAAATTCATCTGAGGCATTTTTGCGAAAATTCATGAGATCAGACCGGACGAATATATACAAAATATAATCAAGAGCTAAGTTTACAAAATATAAAGCAAGTAAGCCCACTGAAATTATAACTTCAAATTATAAAGAATAACACCAATTGTAAGTTTTATAGGGTATGACATGGTAAACTACATTTTAAATTATATTATATGCATAGGAAACATTTTATAGAAGTTATTTTACAAAAACTTGAAGAGTTGGGTATATCATTGGAAAACATGAGAGGGCAAGGATATGATAATGGCGCAGCCAATGCTTCTCAATATGCAGAGTCTTTCTTTTCTCTCGTAGCAAAGATTTACAGCTTCTTTTCAGCATCCACTCTTCGTTGGGCTATCCTAAAGAATCACATTTCCTGCCTCAGTTTAAAACCTTTGTCCACAACGAGATGGGAAAGCAGGATGGATGCAATCACCCCTTTAAGATATCAAATAGAAGAAATCTACGATGCACTTGTAGAAATTGGTGAAAATGATAACACCGAAAAAATGTTGCTCATGATGCAAGCTGTATGGCAAATCAAAACCGTGATTTCACCTTTCTTTGCTCTGTACTGATGGTATGATGTTTTACTTCACATCAACGTGGTCAGCAAATCACTACAGAGTATTGAAATGGCAGTGTCCCAAGCTATCAGCTTACTCGAAAAAACGGAAACGTATTGTCTCTGAGAAGTGATTACCAATTCCAGGGCTACTTAATGACGCTAAAGAACTATCTTCTAAGTTAGACATGGATTCGCCGAAAATTAGAGGCAACACCCGAGCAAGAAAGAGGAAAGTGAGAAGACACTTTGACTATGAAGCTGAAGATGAAAGTATGAACCTTGATCCGGAGACACGATATAAAGTTTACTTCTATTTTAAAATCGTTGACACAACAGTTGTTGCACTTAGTGATGGATTTCACCAAATGAAGAGTCACGGTGGCATTTTTGAGTTATTATATGATATAACAAAAGTTAAAGACATGCCTCCTAATGATTTAGCAGACAAGTGTTTAAAATTGTGTGATGCCCTCACTTTCAATGGCTCTAAAGACATCAGTAACGCCGAATTAAAAGACGAACTGAAAGTTCTTTCAACTATCATAAAGCCCAACAGTTCACCCAAGGAAACGTTGAAAATGCTTAATGAATTTGGTCATGGTATCGCACCTAATGTTAGTGTTGCTCTAAGAATTTTATTGACTCTACCAGTTGCAAGTGGAGAAAGAAGCTTTTCCAAACTCAAGTTAATAAAAACATACCTACGATCAACAATGTCCCAGGAACGTCTGAGTGGTCTAGCAATGATTTCCATTGAACATAAAATAACCGAGTCCCTAGATCTTCAAGAATTGGTGAAAGAATTTTCCAGTGCCAAGGCCAGACGAGTGCTACTTAACTAACCATGCGTGTTAAACTACCCTGTTTTGTAAACAATATTGCAATCCTCTCTTGATAAAAACCCTACCATATTAATGATGTTTTCTTATTTTTAATTATTGTTTATCTGTTCCGAACATAAAGATAATTTCATCAGATATTTAGTGGTACTATTACCTAAGATATACATCATTTTGTCATGGCAATTATAAAAACAGCAGAGCCTTCGGGCAAAATTTTAAGAGTCAGTAGGACCACCGGCCATATTCGATTTTCCCCTTAACGGCAATGTTAATTATTGAAGCATATTACGGCATTATAAATTAAGATAAAATGTTAAGATAAAATGTTGTTTACTATCTACTTTTTAATTTTAATTGTTACTATTTTGTCAAACTACATAAATATTTTGATCTATTTGTACTATGATTTTTTTCAACCTCCACAAACAAAAGTTTTAATAAACCGAAAAGCAATTCACATCCGTTGTTTCAATAGATTTAAAATTAGATATTTTGCAACTTTTTATCTTAATAAACAATGTCGTAATTTGTATCATCAATTAATAATATTGCCGTTTTGCGGGAAATCCAAGATGGCCGAAAGTCCTGCCTCCTGCCGACTCTAAGGTCAGATTTTAAACAAAAAGCAAAAAATAATTGATATCTGCAACTGTAAACATAAAGCAGCTTTTGAAATGAAAATAATTTTAAAATGTGCAATTTACACTTAGAACCCTTAGTACATAATTAAGTCAGAGTTCAGGGAGACACCATAATTCGGCGATCGCTCAAGGAAGGGGTGGAGCCCAGGAGTAAACAATTAGGCGGGACAGTGGCATAGATACGGGGGGGATTAAGGGGATATATCCCCCCCCTTCAACTTATAATAGGGTCAAAAATTGTAATAACATTTAAAAAATAATGTTTTAACGTATGCAATGAAATATAGTGAACCTTTTTAATTTTACTTCTATTATATTAAGCTTCTTAATTTCGAATTTAATTCTTAATTTCTTTTTCGAAAGTAGACTTTTAATATCAATAAATCGTAAATAAACTGCAATGCCAGTGAAAGTAGTATGGTTTTAGCGCGCGAAACAGAGTTCAGACACAAGTCACGGAAGGTCAACAGCCTTTAGCCTATCCGCCCCTCCCCCTACAACCACCACTTCACCTTTTACACCTACCTGAAATTAATCGTTTTAACGTGAGCAATAAAATAGTTAGTCAAATTTCATGCCTATTGTACTAAGCTTGTTTGTTTGTACGTATACTTTCATTATCGATAAATGAATGGTTACTGATAAACTACATGCCGGTAGCCGGTAGCAGTGGTGGGAATATTTGCGCGCCAAACAGACGTGAGTCACCGGACGTTCCGCGTTCAACCGCCCATCAACACCCTCCTCCTCTACCCCGTCACCCACACTACACTTTTTCGACTTTCGATTTACGATTTTTCGACTGGTGTTAATTATTGTGCCAGTGTGTTTTCCGTGGTGTCTCATGAGAGTTATTTTATTTCGAAACAAAGTAAACTGATCAGGTTTTTCGCCGTGAACAGAAAATTTTGATGGCGTTACCTGGTGTGGCAATGGAACAACGAAGTTAAGTGATTTTATTACTCACCTTTGAAATAATCTTTTGTAAATAGGCCAAGTCCTGAAATTAAATTATCAAAGATTCATTAAAATTTTGTCATTGGTTTTTTTCAATTTTGAAAACAGGCTCCCCAAAATATTTCAAATCCGATTTTAAAAATTGTGTCTCAGGGTAGTTCACGAATGTCTCGTTATTCTTCGATCACATTGCGTATACCTCATCATGTGACCACAGCTTATGGCAGGGCTTTTGTGGTTACCGCTTGTCGTCTGTGGAACGGCCTACCCCTACACATTATGACCCTTGAAAAACGTTCCCAGTTTGTGGCGGCACTGAAAAAGCTCTGTTTTGAGAAGATGGTCTCGGCTGGCGTGTCCTAGGGCTACTGTTACCTTGCGCGTTTGCTGATGCGTGTATGCGAGAGTGTGTGAATGTGTTTTTCTATTTGTTAAATTTTTATGTTTTTTTTTTAGATATGTAGGTACTTTAATTGTTAAATATTTTATGTTTAATTAGATTAAGTTATCCCTATGTCACATTATTTTTGTTATATTTTTTATGTCAGGTTAAGTGTAAGAAAGGGCCATGTGGCCCTAACTTTGCCTGAAGAAATTATGGATCTTTCATTTCATTACAAGTCCCGTTATCATATTACGAAAAGCCTACCCTAAGTGCAAAATAAATTTAATAAAAACTAGTCCACATACAAATTAAAGCGAGAAGTTTAATTTCATAAGTACAAAATTGCATAAAATTGTATTAAGTATTAACTCCAGATTTCACTTCCCAAACGCTTAAAAATAGTGTTTAGATAAGTTATTTTTCTCAAATTTTCCGGGGAAAGACCCCTGGACCCCCCTTACTTGCTGGGGGGTATGCTGGGGGGTCGGGAATACCCCCCAGAACCCCCGGGGGGCGGCGGTGGCCGATCTCGCACAGGGCGGCAAAGTCCCTAGGGCCGTGCCTGATTATCAACCAGAACATATAACTGCAACTCCTGATGAACCCTTAGAAAAAAATCCTAGCAGAATTAATAAAAAATAATTAGCAATCCCTCTGAAAGTAACAGGTTTAAAATAAAGACACCCTCAACATGACAGAAGCTGGACCCCCCTTACTTGCTGGGGAGTATGCTGGTTGGTCGGGAATACCCCCCAGAACCCCCGGGGGGCGGCGGTTGCCGATCTCGCACAGGGCGGCAAAGTCCCTAGGGCCGTGCCTGATTATCAACCAGAACATATAACTGCAACTCCTGATGAACCCTTAGAAAAAAATCCTAGCAGAATTAATAAAAAATAATTATCAATCCCTCTGAAAGTAACAGGTTTAAAATAAAGACACCCTCAACATGACAGAAGAGAGAATTCTTAGATGCAATTGATTTATATAATAATAGTTTTCAATGACAGATAATTAACAATCCCTATGAAAATAACAAGTTTTAATTAGAAACACCCAAACTGACAGATGAAGCAATCAAATTCCTAGATAAAATGGAAATACAAAATAACAATTTTCATGAATATATTATTATTAACCATGCTGAAAACTTTGAGCAAATAAAAAAAGAACCCCAACTGACTGAAGATGGAATGGAATATATACAAGAATTTGAAACAGTATAATATATTGAAGACGATAAATAACTTCTTGGACAAGATTTTGAATATAAAAATTGTTGTATATAGTCTAAATAATCTTAGTAATAAATGTTCAATAAACTTGATTTATTTGACAATGAAATTATTATTTAATATAATATAATGTATTTATATAGTTTTAAAGGGGTATAATTAGAATTTATGATACATAGTATTTACTTCGACAGATTTGGTGATTGTGTATAAAAGTTTGGTTTAAAAGTTAAAATAGAAAAAAAATACTGATTCAGTCTTAAATGATTATTTAATTTGGATTAATGCCCCTCCATTTTAAAAAATAACCCCCTCCACCTAATAGTAAAACTATAAAAACCCTTGGTCAAGTGGGGGTTTTAAAACATCTTACTAGGGGATCAATCAGTGTTGTACGGACTATCCTTACTGTTTGGATTTTGATTCAGTTTTGTATGTACTATCTTGGTTGTTTGGATTTTGTTTAGTATTGGTAAATTTGAATATGCCTGATAATATTCTAATATTTCGATATGAAAGAGAAAGACTATAAAGTTTTGCGAATTGGCCAGTTTAATTTTTGAATCAAAGTTTGATGGCCACTGCTGGATTCCATTATTTTCAGAGAGAAGATATTGTTCGGTGTGCATTTTGTGGTGTTGAAATTGGATCTTAGTTTGAGGGAGATGATCCCAAATTAGATCATAAACTATTGACACCATCAAGTAAATTTGTACAAAATATACCATGTGAAAATGTACCTATAAAAATGTTTCTAAAGATGAGTTAATACCTTCACTTCAAAACTTATGAACCAATCTATTCAAATTTCCATATTTCCCCCAGTACATATCATTGGATGCAAGACTTGAATCTAACGATCAGAGTCAAACAAACGTCTTCTACCTCTAAACATCGCACTAAACACTACATGACATGTTGTAGGTGTTTCCCTTAGCTCAACAAGTTTCTCCCAGCATACCACTTCTTCAGTATTTTATGAATCTTTAACAAGTATGACACTTCTTTCTTCTTCATCTAACTCTTCATCTGTCAATACTTCCAAATTATGTAATTCTAAATCCTCCCCACCATCCAATTCCAACTCTTCTTCAGATAAAGATTCTTCCTCCAAGTCTATGTCTTCTTCCTCTGAATCAGCTTCAAAAACAATGTTTTCCGTTAAGGGGTTTAAAAAATATGTTGGGAAAATATTGTCCACATGAGACGTAATGTAAAAGAGTGGTAAATCTGAAGTAACTGATTGTACCTTAGCAAACATGTTATACCCCTACCATTCACCTATAACCCCCACCCTTAACTTTTATCCCCATTTTGTTTTTAGTTATTGTGACCTGGTTTTATGTAGAATGTGACAGTGACAATAGAAGAAGAAGAAGAAAAAGTGTTTATTGAAATAAAATATCAATACAGTGTGTATGTGACAGTGACAATACAGCCTTTATATAACATTTCCACTAGCCCTCGCAATATTTTATTAAATCGTACATCAGTTAAGGGGATATGGCACTGAAATAATGATTTTTTCTTCAAAAAGTGATTTTTTAAATTTGTCTATTATTTTTTATTTATAATGCTAAAAATAAGAAAAATAAAATATTTTTTTGTGCTTAGGCAAAAAATCGATCCATAACTCAACAATAAGTATCACCATGGTTACACTGCCAAGTGTAACTTTAGCGTGCGATTCCTGCTATTCAGTTTTTTAGCGTCTTTAACTACTAAATTTGATATATCTTCAAAACGGTTTATGCTACATGATTCAAATTTTTACCAAGTGTTTAG